GTCATAAAGAAAGATGAATTTGCTCATCTGTAATATTTATGATATAATAATGTCTATAGAGGTAGCAGCGAAGGGCAATGGAGGGTTAAATTGGATTGTCTGAATGGCAGTGTTTCCCTTAGCTGGTGGGTGCAGCACTTGTTGGCAGGTAATGTCTTCCTCGGTATTTAATAAAATGCTCTGAGGAGGAGCAGTAGTCACTAGAGTACACAGAGGAAGGGGCTGGCTGTGTGATTTGAGGACTCACTTTTGCCTTGTCTATTGTGGGAAAAAAGAAGTCTGAGTGGGTGGCAGTTGGTATACAAGGAGTTAAAGGCAGATACTGGTGTGATCTGACACTGTTGATACTGGTGTGATCTGCTTATACAATGGTCATAGCGAGTTCACATGCTGTACATGGTCATCCAAATAATGGAAGTTTATACAATGCAGTGTATATACATAATACGCTTGTTTCTTTACCATATCTGTATTTCATTTGTGAAATAAACATGAACTTACTATTATATTTATCATCCAAAAGTATGGGAAATAAAGAAAACATTACAATATACTTTGAGTTATTAAAGTGTCATTTACATTTTTGCAATGTGTTAACACGGGTGTTTTAATGTATGCTAGGGCGCATGTTAATGTATGTCGCGGTAAGGCAGCCCATTGAAATGAATGAGTCTCCCAGTGCACTTTACAAGGCCAAAAATTAGACACGCACCATTGTTTGCAACACAACGCAACACACTACTGTTCATTGTAGCGAACAGCATCGCAAGTGCCTTGCCTTAGTGCATTGTGGTGCCATTCAGAATAAATGGAACCACAACACAGCAATGTATGTAATGTGTGTAGTCACATGTTGCCACAACACAATGGTGTAAATGGGCACTAAAAGAATATAGTTACATAGTTAGTCTGGCTGAAAAAAGACAAAAGTCCACCCAGTTCAACAAAAAAAAAAAAAAAAGTATAATCCAATGCCCACAATTGATCCAGAGGAAGGCAAAAAAAAAACCCAGCAAAGCATGATCCAATTTGCTCCTGCAGGGGAAAAAAACTCCTTACTGATCCCCGAGAGGCAATTGGATATTCCCTGGATCAACGTTATCTATAAATGTTAGTATCCAGTTATATTCTGTGTATCTAGGAAAGAATCCAGGCCTTTTTTAAAGAAATCCACTGAGCTGGCCACAACCAACTCTTGAGGGAGTCTATTCCACATTTTCACAGCTCTCACTGTGAAGAAACCTTTCCGTATTTGGAGATTAAATCTCTTTACAGACATCTAATTTTTCAAAGTAAGGGCTGATTCAAACAGTGGGCTCAGGTTTTGGTTCATATAATACTCGCCTGCTAATAAGGCTTGTGTAGGGGTGAGGTGATTTTTTAAATTTATTTTTATTTATTTATTTCAGTTACTTATATAGCGCCGTCAATTTAGGCAGCGCTTTACATATATATTGTACATTCACATCAGTCCCTAAGCCTCAAGGAGCGTACAATCTAAGGTCCCTAACTTCCATCCATACACATGCTAGGGCCAATTTAGACAGGAGCCAATTAACCTACCAAACCATTTTTAACCCATTTATGATGGTATAGCACATAGTCAGGGCAGGTGGGCCTTAACACCCAGTCGCTTCACATATATGTCCATAGGGCAGCATAGTGGCTACATGGTTCGCAATTCCGCCTGGCAGTACTAGGGTCATCGGTTCAAATCCCAACCAAAGAACCACCTGCCTGGAGTTTGCATGTTCTCCCTGTGCCTGCGTGGGTTTCCTCCGGGTACTCTGGTTTCCTCCCACACTCCAAAGACATGCTGGGAGGTTAATTGGATCCTGTCTAAATTGGCCCTAGTATGTATATGTATGAACGTGAGTTTGGGACCTTAGATTGTACGCTCCTTGAGGGATAGGGACTGATGTGAATGTACAATATATATGTAAAGCACTGCGTAAATTGATGGCGCTATATAAGTACCTGAAATAAATAAATACAACCCTAAATGGGGTTGTACGCTGAGAGAGCACGCTCACTGCTCGCTGTTTACGATTGAGGTCCAGTGGGATGGGCTCCCAATCATGTTACCGATGTGACAGCCAATCACATACGATTAGATAGTGATTAGGTAGCTTCCTTGGCCTCCTGGTATTAACACCCTCTTAAAGGACTGCTGGGAAATGGTGAAAAGGGGTTGACTCCATTTAAGGTTCACAAAAACAATAGATTTAATGTTATGCCATGCAGTTCTTTGCAAGAACACTGTGATGCATTGATATGCAGTGATGTATGTAGCATAAAAGTACAGATATGCTGCATTTTTTACACAATGTAGACCAATAATCATGAACAATTGCTTTCTATGTGCCGCAGCATTGAGCCTGCCTTGATCCATGCAGATCAATGCACCTCAAGGCACCTGGTGGGAACAAACCCTAAATGTTCAATGAACTTAGTGAATAAAGTTAAGCTATATTCAATCAACCAATCATGTGCTAGCAAA